GTTATGTTGAGAGGAAGCGCAATTGAGGCATATGGTGGGTTATATGTATGACTATACTTGGTTAACCAGTTCTTCTCCAGAGGAAGCTAGCTAAACCCAGCAAAAAAAAAAAAAAAAAATCCCTTAGACTCAGGTTTAGGACAATCAGATACTATCAGATTCCCACTGTTGATACTGGTCATAGAGTTCCCCCAGTTACGGCCATTTCTTCCTTCTATGTAGATCGGCATTAATTGCTAAACCAGAGCATGGTTACATCCACACCGCCCTTCAAGGCCACACAAATGGGGGATTTATCTTTTTTTTTTTTGAACCGGGGGGAATGTAAGGAGAGGAATAGAGTGCTGTGTACTGCAGTTTTGAACTCTAATCGAAACTATGAGTTTAAGTACACCCAACCAAAATAGCTGAAGCTATTGGTGTAAATAGGAATTTATCTATTAAACCTTTTAGAAAAATAAAAAAGAATAAAGAGAGCCTTTGTGATCGGATGATTAAAGTAAAATATATATATTTATTTAATTTCAAAAATAAAATTAATAATTAATTTAAATTAAATTTAAAGTAAAAAATAATATAATAATTATTTTAAAATAAAAAGGGGAATTTTTATTTATTTTAAAATTAAATTTATTAAGTAATATTGTAAATATAATCAAGATTTTTTTAAGTTTTTACTTAATGATATAATAAATATATATATTTTAGTCATAAGTTTATATTAAAAAATAAAAATTAAATTTTAATTTATCAATTAGATAATTAAATTTATTTATTTAATAATAAAATTAATTTTAATATTAATTTTTATATTTTTATTTCTATTTATAATAAAAAAATTATTAACTTGTATGTACAAAATGAAAAAAAAAAAACCCTATTACTACTAATTATTTTATCGTCTAACAATTACGAACAGATTTTAACTATTTTTAACCCTCAGACAATGTTTTGGTTAAGCCTTACTAAAGGGATACGTGGAATCATTCCTACTGTACAACTTTGAACAATTTATCTCCTCTCCTGCGCCTGCTCCTTGACTTGCAGTCTTCCTCTGCCTCTCCAAACTAGAACACCTTCATTTTTCAACAAGATCTCTTCAAATTTTTCCTCAATACAATCCCTTTTGGAAAAAAAATCAAAACCCATTTCCAGATATCCGTGTTCATAGTCATCCTCAACTCAAAGTTGGAAACTTTGATTTAAATCAATCATCTTTTCGTTGATGTTCAACAGCCATGAATTGGGGTTTTTGAATCCGAAAGAATCAGGTTTACATACCCATATAATGGACAAAACGAAATCTTTCAATCACAATTCGCAAGAAGGTGACTCGCTTCATCCTTGGAATGGCGATTTCGATTTCACCACAAGTGATCGGAGATTCGCCTTCTCGCGCCAGTCCTCGTTGTGCCAAAGGCCGGAGCCGCACACGCCGAAGACGCAGCCTTTCCTTTCCAGGACTGCGTCCAGCATCGACATGCCTCCGGTGAGGTACAATTTCGACGACAACGAGTGGTTGTTCGGGGAAGATAATGATTCAAGGAAAAAATTGTCAATCTCGGACTTGGTTTTTTCTATTTATCATGTTATGAAGACAGGTAGCCGGCCGATGAAGAGATTGTTACTCTTGATTTCGCTTAATGTGGCATATTCTACAGCAGAGCTGGGAATTGGACTTTGTACTGGGCGCATTGGTGAGTTTTAAA